GCCACAGTACAAACGAAAGCTTAACACACTTTCATCGGGGTCGCAAGACGGTGAGCCAGGGACTTGTTCGCACAATTCAACAGTCTTTCCTACGTGGCAATCGTCCTTCAGGTTTCCGGTGAGATCACATCACGAATTTCTTCCTACTAACTTTTCCTTCAAAATAAAGAGTCATTAAGTCAAATTTTTTAAGTTACCTCATAACTATAAAAAAATAATATGAAACTTATTCTTTCTATTTTGTTTATTGTGGTAATGGGACTAGTAGTTGAAGTTTCCCACAATGATATGAGTAGAATATATGAAGACCAAGTTGTTATGGTCGCAGTCTCCTTTTGATGTATAGAAGTGGGTTGAACTCGTTTTCGCAACTTGGTCTTGTTATCAGGGCGACTATGTAGAACGCACCTACTCTGAAGTCGTCTGTAATAGTAGTTGTCATGATTCCCAGCAAGTCCACTGCATGATGCTGGGAATCATGACAACTACTCTGGCAGACGAGTTCGGACTAGGTGCGTTCTACATAGTCGCCATAACAACAAGACCAAGTTGCAAAAACGAGGTCAACCCACTTCGATATGAGTAGAGTTTACGCTTCCATTGAATTTCACGTAACCTTGCTTGCATAAAAGCCATTCTCATCCAGGGTGGACTGGACTGCATTTACAACTTTTCCTAGGTCTTATCAACACCCACAGCTGGACTCAAACCATGAAAGTGCAGCGTATAGTCTCGACAAGCTGACCCCTTCGCCACAATGCTACGAGCATCCTTGGTTCAAAGGAAAGATGTGAATTTTAGGAAGGGCCGGGCATTTTTCCATATTATTTTCTATCATGGGACTGCCAACAAAGCAGAGTTCTATTTGCTATAACAATCGACTAAGTTACTTGTTTTTTGTATGAATACAGAGTTTCGAGAATAACTGTAGAACTTTTGGGAAAGCAAGGCTATGTTAAATTGAATGGAAGCGTCAGTTCTACTCAAATCACTGTTTGAAAATTCTACTACCAGTCCTTCATCGCATTAAAGGAAATAGAGTGAATTCATGTCATATTAGTTATTTTTCATTTGTGGAAATAGACTGAATGCCCTTTATATATAAAGAAACTACTCATAAGCGACAAATATTACAAAATAGGCCTAATCTTTCTCGTACTTACGGACGCATGCTCGAAATCTGTCCCTCAGATTGGTTCATAAAATGGCGGAAACGAAGTGATGAAGTGACGCGAAAATGTCATTCAGGTCCACACTGGATTGTGTCTATTAAATTGCAGAGTCAATAAACCCCTATAAAACCACGGATACTCGTGGTTTTCATGGTGGAAGTATTCTACATTATATTTGTAAGTGGACTGGTTTCCATAGTACTCGACAATCTTGTCAAGTAAGTATTCACAAGGTAATTGCTTAAATCGCCCCAAACAACATGAGATAAAATTAATTATCATTTTTGACTAAGATAGTGCCTGATGCAAACTGATTATGTTCGTTTTTCTTCATAAACCTAATGTTTTCTTGTTTATTGTAGTTGAATAGAGATGACTTGAACTCTTGTTATGTCTGAAGATTTTCTATGCGTCAGTCAACCTTAAAAAGTTGTGGCCAAATCTTTTTTTGTCCCTAATTCACTCGGTCCAAGGAGAGCATTTGTGAATCACGAGTCGGATTCATTAATTGCGGCATGATGTGTTTTGCATGCAATTATTTGCTGTTATCTCGACTTTCGCCCATTTTTACTGCTTGCCACCGATAAATAAGAGTGAATTGAGAGTGGGTTACATCGTCTTCCACGTTTACTGATTGGAAAAAGGAGGGTAATTACGTTTATTTTTTTCCTTTCTTAGTAATACTTTTAGACAGAGTTTTGGCGTTTACCGTAACCGTGTAAAAAAACTGAAATTGGCTCAAAATGCAGACAAATGTCGGCCCAAGCCTTGCATCGTAACATTAGTGAGGGCCATAGTGGCAGTAGTGTTGGGGAAATTGAAGTAGGTGAACTCTGAGTGTTGAAGTAATGGAAGCGCTTTTACATTTTTTCAATTTTTTTCTTGACCAGAAATTTTACGATGGGCAGAAAATTTCCTTTTGATTTGTTACAAGAAAAGCATGAAAAATCTCTTGTTCACTTCAACTGGCCTCGGCTTAATTGCAAATTGTCTCTTCCAGGGCTGACAAGTGCAATCCTGCGACCCAGATCAAGTTCCTCAAGTCGGACACAAACGGACCTTTTTTGGCCAAAAACATTCTAAACGAAAGCAGGCAGAACATAAAATATGGATTTTTATCAGCCAGCCTCGCTAGCAGCATAGAAATTGGTACCAATTGGCTAAATTGACCATAATTCTTTGTTGAGCAACCCTGCTATCAGCATTGGTCACAACGGCAAATACATGTTTGTCAGAGTTGGCTGGCTTGCCGTGAAGGTTGCATCTGCAATGTGACTCACTTGCACCCATTGCTGTATGGCGGTGGAGCAAAATGTCGCCAATAGGCTCCCGACCGGAGTTCGAATCTCTTCGGGGCAGAAGACTCTCCATGAGATAAAGTGAAATAGATTTTAGTGGCATTTGTGAAAAAAATTCGCATTTGTTTTGTAAATAGCAGCTAGCGGCCTAAAGAGATTGAATGATTTATTTAAAAATTGATGATAACCTCAAAAAATACTTCCGTACAAAGTGGAACTATGTAATTTAATGATGAAGTTAGGTAACATTACCCTTCTATATTGCATTTCGAACTTTACTCTTCGTACTCACTAGTCAGTGTTATGCAACCAGCCGCATTTGATGGTCGAGCAGCTTGGAGCAGCGAGTTCGAGGCCAACTCAGTGGATGCCCGAGAAGCGGAGAGACGACGTGGAGAGTGAATCCGTCCCGCGGATCTGCCAGAGCCCCCAAGGAAGTCACCAGCCTTGAACTCCTTCCACGAGCCTAGTGCCAATCTGCCTCGAAGTGGTCGTGCTCCACCTTGCCTCGGCCGGGCCTGTGAGGTCTACGTGAAGACGGCGCTTCTCAAACCCTTCTTGTTCACTCCGCAAACTCAGGCCATATTAGCTTGCAATTACTAAGACCGGAATGGGGTTGCCTCGGATTTGTCTCCGACTCGTCGTTCGACCTCGTTTTTGTGAATCAGTCTTACTTTCAGGAAGACATCGTGGTACCAAATACCATCCTGATAGTTAGAATGCTCGCAAAAGCCCTGGTCTGCTGATTATGGTACATCTGATGCTAAATGTAAGATAAGGGAGACTATTGAAATTGGTAGATTAGGGATA